TTCCATTCTCGCAAATTTTAGGCCCATCTCCCAGCTACCTTTTTTATCAAAAGCCCTGGAGCGAGTAGTCTACGCCCAGCTGCAGTCTTTTTTAACCATGCATGGCATCCATGAAAAGTTTCAGTCTGGCTTCAAACCCATGCACAGTACTGAAACAGCCCTTTTAAGAGTTTTTAATTATCTGCTCCTAGCCGCCGACTCAGGTAGCCCAGCTGTCTTGGTGCTGTTAAGGCCCCTACACACCAGGCCGATATCGGCCGTCTTGCGTTGTTGGGCGAAAACGGGTTCCTTGTCGCCCAAAGTCAATTTGGTGTGTCCCGAACCCTCGGCCGTGACACGCCTTATTTGGCCTTTCACGGTCGACACCCGGCCGATTCAACATGTTGAATCGGCCGGGTGTCGGACACAAGCTATCGGGCCAAGAAACCACTCTGATCAGCTGTTCAGCTAGCAAATGAGAAGCGAAACGGAAGTGAGGGACGTAAACAAACGATTTAAGGCACAAGACAGCAGCTAAACCCCAGCAGGTAATACTTAAAGACATCAAACATAGCCCTTAAATGTCCTCTCTTACCTCCCACACATAGCAGGGACATCTCTGATATCGGCGGGAGCGTCCCCGGCTGTCCTCTGCTGAGAGCTCCGTGATTTGTTTGGTCAAGTCCGGTTTTTCATCTCATCGTAAATTTAGCAAGAAGTGGCCATTATTACATTGCTGACTCAATAAACTACACACCCGTCAGAACACTGCGATCATCAGATGCAGGTCTATTAACTGTGATTTTATAGTATGTCTGCACTTTATGTGCTCATTTCATCATTCATGTATTTTTATATTCTAAAACATGTTTTCGATGGACGAGAGTGAAAATGGAACCCACATGCTATTTGTTTGTTTATATCAGACTGTTCTTCTTCTCTGTCTTCCGGTTGTTGCCTATTTTGAATGACGAATACACACTACCGCCGCCTGCTGGTAAGGAGAGTTATTGCCACTCACGCATGCGCAGTTCGTACGTGCTCGGCTGAAGTCTTTGCGGTGATTTCCAGTGCGACACACGGCCAATACGCAGGAGAACTCGTCGATGGAACTGTCTGTGTCGGGTGTCGGCGAGTTCTCTGGTGACTGCCTGGTGTGTCAGGGCCTTTAGACCTGACAGCTGCCTTCGACACTGTGGACCATAGCATCCTGTTGTCACGGCTTGAACAGTCCGCTGGCATCACAGGCTCTGCCCTTGCATGGTTCAGGTCCTACCTGACAGACCGTAGCTTCTCAGTACAGCTAGGTGCCTTCTCCTCTGCCAAAGCCCCTCTTACCTGTGGGGTTCCCCAAGGCTCGATTTTGGGCCCCATCCTTTTTCTACTGTACATACTGCCCCTAGGTTCAATTCTCACAAAACACAACATCCCCTTCCACTGCTACGCCGACGATGTACAGATCTATCTGCCACTCAATTCAAATGTAAACTCATTACAGCTATTGATGGACTGCTTAGCAGAGATCAAATCCTGGCTGAGCCAAAATGTCCTCAACCTCAATGAGAGCAAGACTGAGGTTATCTTTTTTGGACCCCAACCTCCAGCCTCCCAGGTTGATATTCTGGGCTCCCTCAAAAATAATATCCTCCCCTCTGTCACGAACCTTGGAGTGACCTTCAATAGCGCTTTTAAATTCGATAAGCAGGCCAGCAGTGTAGTCAAAACCTGCTTTTTTAAAATACGACTATTGGCCAAGACTAAGTCGTTTTTATCATTTGAGGACCTGGAAAGGGTTATTAATGCCTTTGTTACCTCGAGGTTGGACTACTGCAATGCTCTGTACGTGGGTATGGACCAGGCGTCAATTAAACCCCTGCAGCTAGTCCAGAACGCAGCTGCACGTCTACTCACTGGCCACAAAAAGCGTGACCACATCACCCCAATTCTGGCCTCACTGCACTGGCTTCCAATTCGGTTCCGAATTGATTTTAAACTCCTTTTATTTGTTTTTAAAGCACTAAATGGGCTGGCTCCGGCCTATATAGCTGAACTCCTCCAGCGCTACACCCCAACAAGAGCTTTAAGGTCTGCTGACCAGCTGTTGCTGATAGTGCCCAAGACCAGGCTCAAAACCCGAGGGCACCGAGCCTTCGCAGCAGCTGGCCCTCGGCTCTGGAACACTCTGCCCCTCCATGTGAGGTCGGCCCAGACCCTAGGGGTTTTTAAATCTACTCTTAAGACACACTTCTTCTCCCTGGCCTTTTAGTCAGAGCGGAGCACGACTCCTGACTTTTCCCTGTGTTTTTTTTTTTTTTTAAATATCTGTTGTAATTTATTGTCTTTTATTGTGATTATAGAAATGTGTTTTTATGTGATTGTAGTTATTACATGTACAGCACTTTGGCCGACCAAAAATCGCTTTTAAATGTGCTATATAAATAAACCTTGATTTGATTTGATTTGATTTGATTTGAAATAGCATGCCTGTCTGTGCCATTACAGGATATGTGATTGTGTGTGTGTGTGTCAAACACATTGCACGTTTATCCGTAAATAACGGTACAGGTGCACGGAGAGGCCAAAAAGGTCAGCGCTTTCTGAAAAAAGACAACCCTATGTGTTGGCCAATCTGAAATGCAATCTTTCAAAGCTTTCATCAAACATGGGACTGACATATTTATTGGGGCTTGGACTTTATTAAAGCAATTATATTTAAATGGGAGCTTTGCACTCATGATGTGTAGACTGTAGCGATATTACAGTAAATGATTGCATTGACTTCAAAATCCATGAACTGAACTTTTCTACGCTACATACTAGACCTATGTGCCTATAATATGTGCATTATGGGTCTGTTTTTTTATTTATAAAATATATATTGGTACAGTTCCTTGGATTATTTCTTACATTTCAACAAGATAATAATTCCAGCATTTTCTATAGCTGTATTTTTCCTGAACTCAGTACATTCAAACTGTGATTGACTCCACACATCCTTTGAGCGTTACACTATCCAATCTGACAAGAGATCAAATACAAGTGGAGGAAGCCAGAAATTCAAACTGCGCAGATACTCATGGGATTGAGGAAAAAAAGAAAAGAAAGGAAAGCTATAAAAATATATCTGATATATTTCCTATGTCCCTCCACATACCTAAAAACAATGCAGCTGGAAAAACACTCAGGATGGAATTTATTGAACAAATCAGCCATATGGCCTTGAGATTTCAAAACATATGAAATAATGTATGTATATGTATACAGTGTGCAATTCAATAAATTGCAATATGGGAGAAGAAGAATGACATCGAAGAATGACATCAATGGAGGTATTTACAGATATCTATGACGCAGTCCTTTACTTTTGGCATTTGGCGGATGCTCAACTCTCATTCTGAGGACTTTCAGTGGTATTAGTGTAAATTCTAACTTCAAGCTGAATGGAATATTCGGACAGTCGTCATTTTAATTTAGTGGAGGAGATCCAGTTGACTCAGGATAATTGGATTAACCAAGGAGTTTCCCAGGACGTACATGTGATGCTAGGTGTAGGATTACAAATGTGGCCTATACATAGCAGCAAACTACAGTATAAGTGAATCCATGATGCTTTGATGAGTATTTAAGGCAAAATAATAGTAAACTTTTAAAGACAAGTCATGGCCAAGGAGGATTTTTAGACTTAAAAGAGCTGATCTGACGTCTCTTTGGTAATATTCGTTTTTTGAAGCTATGAAATCATAGCTAAATAAGTCAAAATAATGGACAATTGGCATCAAGCTGTATTAGTTTAAGCTCGTAGTTTAGTTCTCCCAGAGCGGGCACAAACACCTTGTACAGATGTATTTCCTCTTCAGGGATCAATCCTGCGTGAACGTCAGGGAAAGACTGTTCATGCGGTTTAAAAAACAGTTTGGTCATTCTTGTTTGACACAACAATGATACCTTGAAGGCCTGTCTAAAGATTTATTGTCATTAGCCTATCAATTCACATTATGATTCGGGCCATATGTATATGGTAGTGCACAAACAAAGTGTTAAATCAACAAAACAATGCTGTATAGACAAGGAATCTTGCAGATTTATTTAATCATGGTCACCAGAAACCATCACCATATTGATCAGTTATAATAATGTAGAGAGAATTAATGCATTTGTTGCATTTTATTTTGTTGTTTGTGCAATAATGTATGTTTTATGGTTTTATCAATAGTTCTGTGCTTCTATTAATATTCTTATCTCCTAATTATGTAAGTGTTCTTAAAAGATTATTCCTGTGCTTTAGGTGATCTCTTTGCAAGGCACTTTGATCATCATCTGCAGGGTTTGAATATGCTCTATAAATAAACTTGGCAATGTTTGTTTTACAGGGTAATTTTATGGTAAGGTTGAGGATATTAATGTGCATTAATGCTTTATAGGGACACATTACTGTGTAAACAAAACAAGCTGAAGAGCAATGTATTTAATCATGGGCTTTCATGCTGGTCAATGATACCATAGAGGTAAAAGGTGGCATTAAACCTGTTTACTATAAGGTCTCACATATTGTCCCTTTTTGCTGCATTGCATCTTCTTAAGATATGTTGTGGGTGAAAACAAGTGAAATGTTAGCAGGATGACTGTGATTTTAACCTTCCTTAGCAGAGGGCATCATGGGCAGTATGATTCAATACACATATTTAGCAAACAAATAAAAAAGAAGCATTAAGGGTGTCCTATACCAATTCATCACCATGACTGCTGATAAGATTAGACCACAGGAAAACAGTCTGATTTAAAAATAGCACTCATTTTCCACTCTCGGCTAAAGCAACCAGAATAGTGTGTTTTACCTGCAGGCTATTAAGCTATCGATGATAGCTTAGTACTAAATAAACAACACCCCTTGTGATTGGGTCATTGATCTGCCTTCTCATTGGCTGCCTTGACTGTCAGTCAGAGGCTGCACTTGCTGGTTCGTTTAAACCGATGATTTAGCGCAGGTCGACTAATCCCTGTTTATGCACCAGCCACAGGATTGTGTCGCAGCGCGTGCGGGGCTGACGGAGCATCTGTCGGAATATTCTTATACCTCCATCTTTCTACCCCGCTGCCGCCCAGGAGCCACCACCCGTAGCAACTAGACGTGTAAATGGAGTTTCAATCGTTGTCGTGACTGTCCTCCACCGCCTCTCACCCTGCAGAAGACTGCATTGAAGTTGCAGCAGCGACCACAGCACCGCGGCTCCCTCTCCTGTTGCAGACATGGGCACCGTCCTCTCCATATCTCCTGCCACGAAGAAGGCGTCTATTATGGACGCCGAGCTCGCGGCAGGGGATGGACAGAAAAACGACAAGAGCCTCAAGCGCCACTCGATGTTCGTCTCCCTGTCCTGGAGGAAGCTGGTGTTCAATTCGGGCAAGAAGAGTGCCAAGAAAGTGACCCCGAACCCGCTGCCAGCCCCGGCAAACCAAGTGGCGCAGCTCAACAGCGAAAACATCAGGAAGACGCACAAAACCGACGAGAAGAAACCCAAAGCGCCCATCCCGGTACCAGTACCCACTGTGCCCACGCAAAATAAAGATGCCCTGGTCCAAAATGGAAAGCTTTCCACGGTGCAGAAGCAGCCCAGCAGCCTGTCTGTGTCCCCCAGGCGGATCGTCATCCAGGCTTCCACCGGGGAGCTGTTGCGCTGTTTGGGGGACTTCATGTGCCGCAGGTGTTTCAAACTGAAGGAGCTAAAGAGTTCAGATGTGATCCTATGGTTCCGCAACATCGATCGGACTCTCTTGCTGCAGGGCTGGCAGGATCAAGGCTTCATCACGCCGGCCAACGTGGTGTTCGTGTACCTGCTGTGCGAGGACACGATAGAGGACAGCGTGGACACCGCGGCCGAGCTGCAGGGAACCTTTCAGACTTGCCTCTACCTGTCCTACTCCTACATGGGCAACGAGATCTCCTACCCGCTCAAGCCCTTCATGATCGAGGCCAACAAGGATGTGTTCTGGGAGACGGCGCTGCGGATCATCGACAGGCTCAGTGCCAAAATGCTGCAGCTCAATTCAGACCCGCACTTTTTCACCGAGGTCTTCCAGGACCTGAAAAACCAACGAGATACGACCGAGGCAAACCTGGATCGCTGACGTGGAAACAAGACACTGGTGTTTTTTTGTTTTTTTTAAAGAATAAAAAAGATGATTGTTTGGCACATAACGATGAATGTAAAAGGCCAACGTGGAAGGCTTCTCACGTCTTGGCTGAATAGAATGATAGGCTGCAGATTTCATAAAATGCATGCCACAATGGTAAAATCAACATCTTTTTTGTCTTGTCCCTTTGGGGTGACGCAGGGATTGACATTGTAAGTGACACTCAAATCCTTCTTTCATTCATGATTAGCCTACTTGATGGGTAAGTCAGCGCGCGGATGGTGCAGTGTGGGCTGGTTCAGGACCAGAATAGATGTGTTTGTGAGAGGTGGAGGCGGAGCTGTCCTAGGTGCTGACCTGTACAGCCATTTCTCCTCTGCTCCGTGCTATTTGAGTCACCTAGCTCGCCACAACAGAGCCAATGCGTGGCTTAAGAGGACAAGAGTCAGTACACTTTCAGCACATAAGCCTAAGCCTTGTGAGTGCAGGTACACAGCATAATGTTTTTTTTAGATTCTCTGTAAGCTGATGGACATGCAACAGATAACAGAAGCATGTTTCTGCAAGGGGACACAATAGGCTACTTATGTGAATAATTACTATTTCTTTTATTGTAGAATAGACTGCTCGATAAATCATATGGTCTACAAAACGTCAGAAAATAGAGGAAAATCTCCATCCCAGTTTCTCAAAAGCCAAAGTTTGTCTTTAAATGTTCTTGTTGTCAGTCCAAACCCAAATATATTAACACAGAATCCATAGAATAAAATCATTAATAAACAATTATATATTTTAGGATAAATCTGCATGCTTTAATCAGCTAAATTGTTCTCAGTATTTCACACAATAATTAAGGATTCCTACAGATATTGAAAGTATTTTATTGAAATCAACAAAAATATTTAACAGACTGAAGTTTCAGAAGCTTTATGATACACATTTTAGAATTGCAAGAAATCTCCGTACCTGACAGGATTCTTTGCAGGAGAAATGACTATCATTTAATGGATTACAAATTGGTTGCCGATTATCTTTTTGTCAATGGACTAACGGATGAGTCAACCAATCGTTGCCTCTCTAAATAAGATGCTATGGGAAATAGAGGTGAAAAGCCTCATGCTGTGTATCTTCATATCTGATTGCTCTTGATGTGGGATTTAATCCACCAATGCATTCATGTACACAACATTATTTTGAGATAATAGAACTTGTTTTCCTGAGACTGTTGGGATCCACCTGTACGTAAGCTATTGGCTCAAGTTGAATATGAGGTTCAGAAATGTGCAATCAGTGATGGGAGAATCTTCCATTTTGAATGTGATAGAAAAAAAAACGCACTTAATGGGCCCATAGACGGCCATACAGCAAGATTATCAACCGAATGCCTCTGTTGTGCAACGCAGGGGCTAGATAGAGACTCAATGGAATGTACAGTTTTTCAATCGATTTTTTTTTCTTCTATCTTATACGTGCCAACTATGAAATGCTCTTGGCCTGAAACTATGTGGTTTACATGTACATATCCAATATTTTACCTTTATTTAATTTGCCTGTTTTTATAGGTGGCTGTATATGTTGTTGTCCAAGCATAACAAAAAATTGTCAATTTTGTTTGCCCTGCTCTGTACATTTTCTAAGGGCATCAATTCAGGAATTATGTTTTTTTTTTCAATCATGTAAATATTGAATGTTAAGGTCTCATTGTTATTAAGTGATATCGTTTTGCACACATCATTGCAGTTCCTATAAGCTAAACGTGATTCGACTCCAGCTCTGAAACCCAGCTTATAGGGCAACATGGACAGTTATTATTCTGTGTTATGCTAAGTAACCATTGTGATGTTGTGTTGTGAACTCATTGCTTGGAAAGTGAAATATAAATGCTGCTATTTTTTGCACAGCTCTGAACAAATCTTCAATGTTTTACACAGTGGTATTTGCATAATGGTCGTGCACCAGTGTTTCCTGTCAGGCCACTGGAGTGTTTGCCATTACGTTTGCAGTCAGTGTTACTAAAGTCTATGACGATCATCTGTGAATTAGATCTTTTGTACAGTTCATTTTTCCTATGTGTCAGCTTTGGAAGGTGATATTTAGTAAGTGTGTGTTGTCTGTGGTTGCGCCACAGTTGCATTCACTACTCTACATGTTAATACAAAGGTCAATGCAGTACTTGTTTATGGTGACCATGATGAAATAAATCCAAACTTCTGTAGGATCTGGTTTCTCTGGCATTGTTTTTTGTTGATTGAACACTATACATTTTATTACATAAGCGCATATATGGCAAATATTTCCTACAAATTATGTACTTTTCTCAAGTAGCAATTCACTTAGACAGCCTCTTATCCACTCACAACACCCACTCATCTGTTGATTTGGCAGTGGACCTCTTGAGATGTGATTATGCAATAAAGTCCATGACGAATGCGCACACTGGGATGATGCTAAAGGTTGCCATGGGACTGAATCTCGGGAGACTTCATAGGTTGCCATGAAACAACAAGTCAAAAGATTTCTTTTTTAGAACTAGTAACACAAAGATACATTTTTTGGAGGTTTTAAACTCTGCATATGGAAGATATATATGTGTAAGAAAAGCTACTACCTCCTAGTACATTTTGCAATAACAAATCTGACACATATAAAGGATATTTTTGGTATCCTGTCTGTGTACCCTGGGTATTGAAATCCAGGCCACATAGTGAAATGGGGACATGGAAAAATACAGGAGAAAGATGAATTGTACAAAATAATGTAGGATGAATCTGCATGCATGGCTAACTCTATTTTGCACGTTATTTATTCCATATCTCCACATATTTAAAGGAAACCTATTGTGCTACTTTGGGTTATCTTTTTCCTGTAGTGTGTTATATAGGTTTTTGTGCATGTAAATGGTCTGCAAAGGCTAAAATCCCAAAGTTCCCTTTAGGAACTCTCTCCCACACATTCCCCCCCTGCCTGAAATGCATCCATTGGAGTTCTTTGTTTACTTCCGTGACATAGTGACATCACTATGTAACAATACAAATACGAAGACCTGACAATGAGCACAATAGGGCTCCTTTAATTATTATTAAAGTATACAGTATTTATTGCAGGGTACAGTATTTCATTGTATATTCTGTTTTATCTTGTTCTATTTTATCTGTAAATATTCTTTGTATAGTTCTGCAACATGCACGGGTATAGTTCTTGCTCTGTCTCTTTTCTTTTTATGCTAAATATATTGTGTGTTGTTGTTGTTTTTTGAAAGAGCCTCTGATTTATGATTTTCATGGCAGAAAAAAAAAACCTGAAATATGACAATAAAACATTTGAATATATTAATATTATTTAGAGATGTGCAACATTGAAATCCTTTTACAATTCTTCTTACTTTATTAGCATTTATCATACATATATAACGTTTATATTTAAAAGGCATTTCCGAAGCTTTCTTATTTTAGGCTACGGATCCATTGGGGATCTGCTGTATGAGAGAATGGCGCTGCATTGATAAGGGTTTCCTTTTTATGAATAAGCCACGTGGGCAGCAGGGTTCCTTCATGTGATTGGTTAGAATCTGCTGCAGTCTCAGAACTGTCTGCGACTCTCTCTCCCCCTCACTGTGGCTGTGTCTGTCTTATATAGGGACATACTGTATCTATCTACAGAGGAGAACATAGAGAAGAACACCACAGAAAGGGAAAAGGAGAATAATAGGTTTAGAGGTTGGGAGAGGAAGAAAGAGTAGAAAGAAAGTGGGACAAATGAGGGGGGAATTGAAGCACAAAAAGGAATAGAGAGGAAAGGGACAGACATGTTTCCTTTTCATTAATTCTCTGCCATCTTAGTTTAGTATGGCGATAATACAGCAAAACCCTTTATTATATATATATATATATATATATGTAATTTTTATGTAAAGGCTAAAATCCCAAAGTCGCCTCCAGAGTGAGTTTCTCTCCCACACACATCCCCCTGAAACGCCTCCATTGGACTCCTTTGTTTACTTCCGTAACATAGTGACATCATCACTATGTAACCCATGCGCTTTTATTGGATACCGTCCCAACTAATTGGCAGAACATCTATAAGCGAATGACTAATCACAACAGAGCCTGCCAGCTAACCAATCAGAGCAGCCTGGACTCTGGTTTCAGACAAAGGGTGAAAAGAGGTGCAGCACAGGCAGTATGAAAAATATAAATCACTTTAATGAGAATTAAATTGTTAAAACATGTCACTGTAATTGGAAAAATGTTTACATATTGTGTACCAGAATGAATACTTCTTAAAAAGGTATGGGAGTCGATGGTATAAGCCCAACCCCCATACTTGTAAAACATGACTCATCACCAGATGGATCAATTTCTAGTGGCATGAGCAGAATTCAAAACACATTTCTCTTTAAGATTCTAAATATATATCTGCTTAATATTCACTAATATTGCACTACATCCAGATTGTTTCATGTAAACTCAACATGCACTTACATGACCTGTGAGGTCAAACAGTTACAGGACTGAGTGGAAAACGAGACGTCATGAAAGACCAAATAGCTTTCTTGCCATATGTTTCCCTCTTGTTTTATAGTTAGTAGCAAAATACTGCATCAGTGTTATGTAACATTTCCCAACAGCAGTGTTGCGAGCTTGTCTTTATTATTAAGATTCAGCACAGGTCTCCTGCATATCTGTCTGCCAGCCTGCCTCCTGCATTCTTCTCCACTGCGTCTCTATAGTAACGGGTAGGTAAGTGAATGAGAGCTGGACAAAGTGAGCTGTGTGGGCCCGACACGAGCGTGGGCACACACACACACACACACACACACACACACACACACACACACACACACACACACACACACACACACACACACACAGAGTGGGTATCAATAGAAGACATGCAGTGGTTGTGGCTGTGCATGTCTCTGCCTTGCTGCTGTTTCCCACCCTCCTCGATGTGTCCTCTTCATCACAGCATCAAGAGCAACAGTTTATCCTCTGCCTCAGCAACATCACTTCCATTTAAGCGTACAGATCATATTCACATTGTTTATCACGCTCACTGTGTGTAGGCTGCTTTCTGTATTTCATTTTTGGTTACATAATACAGTGAAGATGTTTGTTTCAAAGGTCTCCTGTCTCAATGTGTTTAAGGACAGATTGTTTCAGAACAGCACATTGAACTAGATGCTGCAGGCTTAAGGTTTTATAAATGCCTCTGTTCAGTCACTCTGTGGGTTTTAATCCGTGGTGGAATGTCACTGAACTTAACTGGAATATTTACAAACCTTGTATTTAGCCACATTCATACCACCACTGTACCATCCTTGAAAAACACAATTTCTTAAGTTTTGACAATTTTACATCTTTTAAAAGTATGTGTTTTTTTTATAAATGTTTACATGGACTGTCCCCCCCCCCCCCCTTAGGGGAATTCATCCACAAAAAACACACTGGACGCTGCACTAGGTCAGAAACCAGAGGAGACTGTGAGGTACACTGTAGACGGACCACTTTCGGACAAAATGTCCTCTCCATTAAAGGCAGCTCATTGTGGAATAGCCTCCCAACTGAGATACAGGATTGTCCCACTCTCAATAGTTTTAAAGGTCAACTCAAAGAATGGTGGAGAAACAAACAGACGTGCAATCACCGCTAAATGCACTTTAATACAGGGGTATCTCCTCTTGCACTTTAGGTAGCTCTTGTATCTTCTCTTGCACTTTATATGTCGTTGCTGCTATATTGTACTACCATGTCATAAATACTTGTGTATGCTGCTTTTGCTCTTTTGCACTATTTGCATATCATGTATTTTGTTTTTGTTATGTTTGTAAAATGTGATTTTCTTAAATGTTTTATGTGAGGGACTGCGGATGGAAATTAGCTCAAAGCTAAATCTGGCACTGTTACGCTTGACACATTTTAATGTTTAAAGTGTTCATTACTGTGCATTGTCCCTGCCAAAAAAACGATTAAGTATTTGACTTTAGTATTTATATTTTATGCTACCTTACAATTCTATTTGTCTAAATCTCACATCATCTACGTCTCCACAATGTGTATTTGCATTACTAATTAACCTGTTGCTTTCTAATGAACCCAGTAATATACAAAGTATCTACAATTTTCTTCAAATTCAATAAATACGGTTACATTTAGGTATTATTGTTCAAAACTAAACAATACAATATTTAATATTTACAAAACAACTTTAAAGGAAGCCATTTTGCACAATCAGTGCAGATCATTTTTGATAGCCTTAAAGTACAATTTGCTGATAATATTTTTGATTAAATAACTTTTTTAATTCAAGAATGTAACTAACATAATGGATCTGGGCACTGGCTTCAATTGACAGCTAGAGGTGTAACGTTGGTTTTGAATGTTTGCTACTGTAGTGGCAAACTTTATATGTTACCAAATATGGTTACACCAAATGCAGCAGTTCCATGATGATGTATTCAGTTCATGTCCTTTGCTAGACTTATGATTAACCTTAAGAGTGTCTGGGTATCAAACACAGTGTCTTGAACAAGTTCCTGTGTTTCTTCCCTGTTTCACAATAAGTTCCTGCTTTCCCCACTTCCATCTGTCCTTAACACGTTCCTGTTTTTCCTATATTAGCAATGTACAGTTTCTTTTCCTCTGGAAAGGCGTTGCTTATCTCTCTTCCCAGCCCAGTAACAGTGACAGGTGATGAAGTGTTGTTGAACTGTCAAGATCCTGTAAAACTTACACACACACTTCTCCCTGCGCGCTCTCCTGCAGTATACTCTGTACACTGTGAGACTTGTGCCTTCGAAGCTTCGAATAAAGAACCAGAAAGACAACTCTGTTTGTTTCACCAGTTTATTGATTGATCATTCTAATTGTATATCTCCACAGTATTGACTAGGTCTAAGATTTCCGTAACACTACCTGATGTATAGCAAATAAATGTTTGAATTGAAACTCTTATTCCAGCACCTGAGTCATTACACTTAACTTTACTTTAGCATTTTAGAGGGACACATTTTATTTTTCACTCCACTACTTTCATCTGACAGCTTTATCTACCAGTAACAAATGAAGAGTGCGCTTATAGTCGAGTGGTTACAGCCAGTACTGCAACAATGTTCATTTTCAGGTTCATATTTGTATTGTGTGCCTCTACTGTGACCTGTTTACATGCTTTAATGTTTAAAAAGGTCTTTATTTGTCCTCTTTTCACCCTCTGTGTTAG